TTTGCTCCCGGTTCCCTCTTCCTCCGGGCGGGGCGGAGAGGAGCCGCTGTCGCCTCCCCCTGTCCCGCCGGCCGATGCTACGCGCCGCCCCGCGCGGGGAGGGCAGGAAGCGGGCGGGGAGGAGCGGGGGCCGGGCCGGGGCTGCTTCCCCCGCCGGCCTCGTCCTTCCCCTGCCCCGGGGGGCTCCGTCTCGGGCCCAGCCTCCCCCGGACTGAGGGTCCCGGCCCTGGAGGCGCAGGTGCGGGGAGCATGGCTGTGGCATCCGTTCGTCTGCTCCAGACGCTGGGAGTTGCAGCCTGCGAGCAGGGGCAGGCCAGGGTTGGTGGGCACGGCTTTGCCTTGCCCCCGCAGGGCGCGCACACACGTTGCTGGAGCCGCTCTGCCTTGCAGCGTCTTCATCTGAACCCTCCCGCTGCAAGGACTCGGTTTTCCCAGGATCCGGCCCTGTGAAAGCGCCCTGCAGCCGGGCTCATCTGTGTGGTCACAGCTGCAGTGTTTTCAGGGGCAAAAGCGGTCGCTTCTGTCTGCGCCAGCCAGGGCACCTGGACTCCTTTCCGGAGCTGGGAGCAGGGCGTCCTGGCAGGGGCGACTGGTGCATCCTGAGGCTGGGGGGATACCTGCAGAAGCCAGCGGCGGGGATGGGGCTGGCGAGCACCTGCAGACATTGCCAGTGGTAGCGGGGACAGAGCGGGTCAGCACCTGCACGTGCCAGCAGCAGTGTCAACAGCAGGGACAGCCCAATGGGGGGGGTACATCCCCCCGTGCTCCCCCACAAATTGCCTATGCATCCTGGGATGCTGGAGGACTGCAAAATTGTTCATTTTATCATCCTGGGGTGGACTGAAGTTGCCCTGACAGCTGGAGTGCAGGGCCCTGAGTTAAACCCCTGCCTGTGTTGTAACTTTGGGAGGCGAGTGAACAAGCTTTACTGTGGACGCTGGCAAGTTACGTGCTATGGTGGAAGTGGAAGTTGTAGCTTCACCCTTAGCTTTGTATGTTTATTTGGCTCAGGCCTGGCCCTCAAGCTGGTTAGGGGTGTTTGGTGTAAAATAGGGGAGGAAGGTGACTTGAAGTCCTCCCTAAAAAGGTATCCAGGAAATAGAG